CATTGTTAAATAAGAAATAAAACGGAATCGTTTACTCGTTAAAACTTGAAAACTTACACTCATTACTTCAAGTTGTAGCGGAAAGAATTCGCAACAAGCCATGAAACGAACCCTTCACAGCTTAGAAGATGGGAATTTTCTCGCTGTGACAATGGGGGTGCTACCCTTTTCCCAATTACCCCACCTTCTCCAAATCGACTTCGCTTTAGATGCTGCTTTCACTCGAGGGAAGTCAGCAGATAATTACTTTGCGATAGCTGTTCGGTATTGTTAGAAAATTAAAAATTAAATTGCGAAAAGTTTTCACCTTCGACATCATTTCGTTATTTTCGTCAGTGTAACGGAATTGCAATCTCAGGTTAGAATCCGGTTTCATATGGAATTTCATATTTCCTCCCGAGGGGGCTTAGGAGAGGTTTCCATGAATACAGAGTAGACGGAAAAGAGTCGGAATTTGGTCAAAAAACAACCGGACATCCATCAAGAATCACTTCTAACCATCTCGTTATTTCACCTCCATTTTATTATAATCACTCAATTTTGCCATATAATAATTAGAATTAATACTTAGATGAATACTTAGAATTATTGACTACTTATGTATTTCATTTGCGCCAGCAATTCTATTGCTCAGCGTTATTGTAATCACGCGTCGATGGCCAAAGTGTAACTTAACGCTTCCGAAGGCCAAAGTGTAACTTAACACTTCCGATGGCCAAAGTGTAACTTAACACTTCCGATGGCGAGGTGCATTGGACTTTACTTGAACTCGATAATGTAATAAAACTGTTTAATTGGCAACTTATACAATAACAATAATTTATGTAACTTTGAATATTAAAATATGTCCATCACACGTGCGTTTGACACTAATTTAGAGTACGGCAACTTAAATACGTTGATTAATGTTTATGTTTATAACGAGAGATACTCCGAGTTACGCAGTTTCAAACGATGTTATATCGCGTTATAATATTGCGTTAGTTAGTTACTCTTGGTAATTAGCATTAATATTATTTATGTGTAGCAGCTCAAAAACCGAATGCTAATCAAGTTCCTTTAGCGCAAAACATCAGTTAACTTATTTATGTACATAAACGGTCGAGGATTATCTAAAGGGATATTTTGAAACCGACAAGGGAGTTCGATAAAACGCCTCATTTACAATTCATATCGCGCCGGTTCTCGTTCGCGAATAATTAAATCGCATAAGCACCAATTACGACCTATTTTCTTCTCCGTCCTTCCCTTACCGAGCCGGACCGAACTCCTTCGTGGAAGCAATTAAAAATTGCAAATGACCTCTCAAAGAGCCGCGTCCCCTTCCCCACTTTCAGTTCAAACACCGCGCGTTCCGGAACGATTTTGCCTTGCAACGGCGAGTTGGCGAAAGAAGATGAGGGCATCACTTCACCGGTAAACGATGCCTTCGTAGCCTAATTCTGTTTTAATTGCGCCTGACACTCTATCCTAAACGAACTAGAAAATTTGATAATTACAACGTTAGACCTAAGTAGGAAGAAAATTGTTGACACATTATTTTGATTGAAGAACTTTATACGAAAATAATTTTGTGTTTGTTTATGTTAAATGTTGATGGATTTATCCTAAAAATTGATTTTAAATGATTCAGCTTCTAAACGTGTGTCGGTTAGAAGTGGAAAGAAACTGGAAGAGTTTTCCTTTTATTTGATGATTTGATGGCCGATCAAAAGTGCACCATGACTTTACGGACACACTGTATCTTCTGCGTTCTAATTGCTGACCTTCAGCTTTTACGGTTTATCCAGCTCCCTGATGCCCAAATAGTTGTTTGGCGTCCATAGGATTTTCTTTCGGTTGATTGCCAATGCATGGTTTTTTTTTTGGGATTCCCTCATTACCCTCATACTTCAATTGTTCTCTGCGATTTTCGAAAACTAGAAACTTCTGAGGGTTATGCCCCATAACCCGGAAGTTTCTAGTTTTAGTTTTATTTCAAACATTTTAGTTTTTTGACATGTGTGTCACATTGTTTTATTTATACACAATGTCCGTAAAGTTATGCTGCACTTTTGACCGGTCACAGAAAACCAACAAATCACGATAAAAGAAAACCTCTCCTAGTTTTATACTTATTCAGTGCACCATGACTTTACGGACATACTATATAATGTATAAATTCGGTTTAGAAGACGCTAATTCTGTCATCTGTTGAACTAGAAACTTTTGAGTGTTAAAATTTATTAAAAAATTCTATAAGGAATATTTGTTTAAAATTAAGAAAGCAATAATTTTTATTAACACCATTTTTTGATTTTTCAATATTTTTTAAATTTCCCACTGAAGAGTACGTTAAATAACTTATTGTATCTCGAAGCGTATCGTTTTTATCGAAAAATGTTTTTAATAATTTTTATTTATAAAATCATTTAAAATCAACATTTTAACTAAAAAATTCTAAATCTCCACTAGGTGGCGCAGTACACTGCTATAAAAATGATATTTTTGGGGTTATCTCAAGAATTATTCATTTTATCAAAAAATGTTTTCAGAAATATTTACTTAGAACTGAAAAACCAATAATTTTTATTAACACCATTTTTTGATTTTTCAATATTTTTTAAATTTCCCTCTGAAGAGTACGTTAAAAGTAGCTTATTGCATCTCGAAGCGTATCGTTTTTATCGAAAAATGTTTTAAATAATTTTTATTTATAAAATCATTTAAAATCAACTTTTTAACTAAAAAATTCTAAATCTCCACTAGATGGCGTTGTACACTGGTATAAAAACGATATTTTTGCGGTTATCTCAAGAGTTATTAATTTTATCAAAAAATGTTTCCAGAATTATTTATTTAGAATTAAGAAAGCAATAATTTTTATTAACACGATTTTTCGATTTTTCAATATTTTTTAAATTTCCCACTGAAGAGTACGTTAAATAACTTATTGCATCTCGAAGCGTATCGTTTTTATCGAAAAATGTTTTTAATAATTTTTATTTATGAAATCATTTAAAATCAACTTTTTAACTAAAAAATGCTATATCTCCGCTAGGTGGTGTTGTACACTGGTATAAAAATGATATTTTTGGGGTTATCTCGAGAGTTATTAATTTTATCAAAAAAATTGTTAAGGAATATTTATTTAGAATTAAAAAAGCAATAATTTTTATTAAAAACATTTTTCGATTTTCCAATATTTTTTAAATTTCCCACTGAACAGTACGTTTATTTCAGACTTTTTACCTTTTATCTTATTAATGTTCTCATAATGTTTTAATTGATTCTTATCTTAAAGATTGGATAAGGATCCTATTATTTTACTTGGTGTATTCAAGAAAGTAAAAATAATAAATAAGAAGATTGCCAAAGCTTATAAGTGGTTCCCTATTCTCAAAGTTCTATATGTATGTAGTTTGGGAACAAAGGTATATCCTTCAGGAGGACTTTGTCGGTATTCAGAGCACGTTTCTAGAGCTGATACGGCCCCTAAACCCGGCACACGCTCTCTTAGAAAACTGGGGAGGGCTTCCTTGGCAGACGCCAAACTTGGGTTAATTTATCGTATCGGTTGTGAGCTCTGCAGCACTCCCGTTTAAACAACATCAATGCCACCCCTACGTTAAGCCTCTTATGATTAAAAAAAACTTTCCTATCTCGATTACTATTAATATTTACTGTGAGAATATTAGGTTTAAAAAGTCCACTACAAATATAGTTGTCAGGTTCATAGCAAGCAATATCCGTCGACAACGTCCGTTCGTAAACGCTTTGGCGGTGATGGCGGTGTTAGTGGTGGCGTCAATTAAAGCGAACCGTAGCCGGAGGGTAACGTCGTTCGAAAATACTGCTGCATCGTCCGAAATTCTGCACCCGTAATGATTCTTTGACGCGTTCACTTCTGTGACAATTCGTGGAGATAACGATGCGACCGCAACCAGAGTTTCACGTTGTTCTTTTCACGCGTAACTTTTTCGCATGTTTCGACGTTTACAATCGACCCACATCTACATATACATACTTGAAATGCTAACTGGTGCGCAGTGTGAATAGAAGAGAATGCTTCGGGGATGGCATCTCTCGGGCACGTTGGGATGGGCGGTATTGTTTCAAGTTGACGTGAGCTACATCGTGAATACGTTTCAACTATTCTAGGGATGTGAAGTTTGTATAAATTCGGTTATTTAAATTACCCCGTTGGGAAATCAACTTGGATAGATTAAAAAAAAAGATTTTATTGTAAATTGTGTGGGGCAATTATCTAATGGCTTCGTGCGGTTGGAACATCAATTTAGTATTGGAGATCAATTATTTGAGTGTTTGGCAGATGCCACGTTTATATTCACCCCGATTTATTGCCATGCGCGGTCGTTTATCTTTGCGTTTAAAAATTAATTTCCAATATCACTCGAAGCTTTCTTGTAGGGTAAGGTTTCAATGTTATAGTATTCTAGGTTTGTATAGGTATCGATCGCTTTTTCTGGGTGGCAAAACAACTCAAATCATAAGCTTCGTTTAGCGTTCGGGGTCTGTTCATTACTCGCCATAATGGCCAGCGATTAAGGGTTGTTTATGGGCGATGGCAGTGGGGTCCAAGCTATTTACGTAATCCAGTAGTGATGTCATTTTATTGTTAGTTGTTGTTTATTATTAACTCATTAGATCGTTATCTAGGGATATCAATTAAAACTTTGTAAACACATTGTAATCTTGTAACATCAAACGAGATACGATCGGTCCAATATTGATCTCGAGCTGTATTCGTTAAATTCCTAACCGAATCGGGTGCTTTTGCAAACTGTTGAATAATTGATGGGGATTGGTAACACAGGTGGATCGAGTACAATATTGTTTTTCAAAAATGAACTAACGGGATATTCGATTTTATATTATTTTATAATTTTACCAGCTAAATCATAGGCAAAATTTTAAATAAAATCCTTCTTCAAACACCGCATAAACTACGTTCGTTATCAAATTCGTATACAAGTTTAACTCGGCATGTTTTGTTACAGCTTGTTGGAGGGGAATTCGACATGGAACTAAACTTTGTAATTCAGGATGCGCAGAACATCAGACACATGCTCGAGTTGCTCGACCACTGTCCCCCAAACTTACAGGTAATTTTAACCTATAGTTTACTTAAGGATAATTTGGATGCCTAAGTTTCATACAACTCTATTTTGATAGTTACAGTTTGAATTAATACAAATTAGTATTCAAAATGTATTTGATATTTATATTATTCTAAATTAAGTACTTAAAGCTACTTATGCGCTTAATTAGTACAGGCATGAGTGAGAATTAATCATCTTTATGCAGAAAAATCTTGCTACTATTTTATGCATAAATTTCTTCATTATCTTCAAACTTTTTGCTGAACATTCTAATTCGGAGAGTAGAAATGACTTACTCCGAGATGTCAACTTGAACTTTGACAAAATAACGCAGTGGCTCAGACATATGAAGAGCTTATTGCTAGAACGTGATCTTTTCCTCCTTCTCTTTTTAATATTTATACAAAAAAGTCTTACATTACATTACATTGCATCGACTACTTATCGGGTAGGCGNGCAGTGGCTCAGACATATGAAGAGCTTATTGCTAGAACGTGATCTTTTCCTCCTTCTCTTGTTAATATTTATGCAGAAAAGTCTTACATTACATCACATTGCATCGACTACATATCGGGTAGGCGGACTAACCAACCTTACACCGCGACCCTAAGGATCTATTGTACCCCGATAGATATCGTTTTCAAATTTCACCGTGCAGTCCAATGCTCTTAACGAACATTAACACCTTGCTCGGCGAAAGGTCATTCAGATCCCTTGAGGAGATAAACTGCGACCCAAAAATCGANCTCCGAGATGTCAACTTGAACTTTGACAAAATAACGCAGTGGCTCAGACATATGAAGAGCTTATTGCTAGAACGTGATCTTTTCCTCCTTCTCTTTTTAATATTTATACAAAAAAGTCTTACATTACATTACATTGCATCGACTACATATCGGGTAGGCAGACTAACCAACCTTGCACCGCGACCCTAAGGATCTATTGTACCCCGATAGATATCGTTATCAAATTTAATTATATTAACGAACTTAATTTATTCTTAATTAATTAAGTTTATTGCTACCATATCAGCAATACATTCCACAAACAATTAAATTTTAACAATACTACAATTACATATATCACATTACAATACAATACATTTTATTTCCTATCCTACCCCTCCCCATCTCCTCTCCGCATCTCCCTACGCTGCCTTGTCGCCACCACCTCCCTCATCCATTCTCTTCCCTCTGCCCCCTCCCCCAGCACCTGCTTCCAGCCGATCACCTCCTCTCTTAGCTCGTCACACTCCCTCAGTAGGTGCTCCAACGACTCCCACTCCCCCCCACATAGCCTACAACCCCTCTCATCATCTCTCATCCAATACCTATTCGCTCTCTCCTCATTGCCGCATCTGAATCTTGCCACCATCCTCTTCCCCTCCTCATCCCCCTCCACCGACAGGTACTTCGGCAATCCCTCCGTTATTATTTCCTCGTACTTAGGGTTGTACCTGCTCTCCCTTATCTGCCCCCTTCTTTCTTGCCTCTGTACATCTCTGTCCCTGCTCTCCAGCTCTTTCCACATCTCAATCCCTTCCCTCCTTCTATCATCTACCGCTTTCACTGAGTACCCCACCCTTCTGAAATATTCCTCCCTCCCTCGTTGCCCGTAACCCCCTTTCCCTGCCTTAATCTCTTTCCAGCACTCCCCCAAAATTTTACATTGAGACCTCCCTTCAACCCTCTCCTCAAAACGTACCGCCCTTTTACCCGCCTCCACTCTTAACTTATCAACCTTCACCTCTTCTCTGACTATGTACTCCGGCGTCTCTTTTGCCAACCCCAAAACCCATCTCCAATACCTAGCCTGTACGCCTTCCAACAGCCCTTGCTCTTTCCACCCCCAAAGCTCCGCCCCGTACATCATAACACTTCTAATCAAGCACTCGAATATCATCTTCCTTTTTCCCATATCCCTTCCAAATAATCTCTCTCCCCACCCCCAGACCTGCCCCATCACCTTATTCGCCTTCTTGGCCATTGCCCTCACATGCGCGCCTTCCTTGTTGTCCTCTCTAAATCTGTACCCCAAATATGTGTACTCCCTCACCTCCTCTATCTCCTTCCCTTCCCACCTCCA